GGCTCATGGTTTAAGAGATTCAGTTCACAATTTGTTGACTCCCAAGAAGAAATACCATGGCAGGAAGATGTGGTGAAGGAAAACTTCTTAGTGTGTGGTGTCTAGGAAACAGAGCATAGGAGCAGAGCACAGGCAGAAGTTATATTCTCCAAAGGCCTGACCCCAGTAACCCACTTCAGCTGGACCCCCACCTCCTAATGTCACATTAATTATGAATCAGTCCACCGATGAGTATAGCTCCCTTATGGTCCAGTCACCTCTCCAGGAGTCTCTTAAACTAGTCAGGTTGATGGTGAAGCTTAACTGTCATATTGAGCATTTCAGTGTAGATGGCACCCAAGATACATGAAAAGGTTTATTTTGAAATTAGGTTTTAAAATGGGTTAGAGCGAAGTTGTAAAGAGCCTCAAGTAAACACGAACATATTCAACAATCATGTCCTGACCATTCGACTGCAAATTATCTCTCCAAAAAGTACTTACATTTCTCTTCTCTAAGATCAACACCATAAGGTCAGATGGTATTCTTTAAATGCAATACAATGCACTGACTTCTCATTTCAACTCCTCTAACCACTTTCCCATTTCCTCAGAGTCCAAGAGAACATCTTCCAGTAAGCCCAGGAGGCTCCTCCTCACAGTGTTTCTACAGACTCATGGGAAGGAGGCATTTTTCTCATTCTTGAGTGGATGATCTGCACCCAGACTAGAGATTTTGCTTCTGATGGATGTTACAAGCTCTGTATTTGTAACTGTCTTACTTTCTGTAATTGTTATTTTGATAACAACATTACTTGCCTGCTCCTAATTAAAATTTTTTAAATGTTTGCCTTAGGACCTTTGCATTATCTTGGAGCTTTTCTTTCTACTTTTATTTTTTAAGTGCTAGGGCTTGAACCCAGGGCTTCACATGCTAGAAAAGTATTCTACCACTGAGCTACATCTTCTTCCATTTTTATTTTCATATTTTAAGACAGATTCTCACTAAGTTGCCCAAGCTGGCCTCAAATGCCCTTGCCTTTCTAACTCATCTTTACATACTTGTTCAATAAGGTTACAGGGCTGGGTTTTCTAGGACAGTTCTAGTTTGTGCCTTTTTTCCAGGCCTGATAACTGACATCGCCTATTCGAACTGAAGAAGGGACCCACTTTAGATTAACAAATTATAGAGGTCAAACTATTGTCTTTCCATCTCTATTTGTTTGTTTATGGATGGTCCAGTTCTTATGGTGATTCAACTGACTGTTTTTTACTTTACTACAAAGCATAACTGTTATGCATTCAGTAAAAAACTCCATTCCAATTTCTGGTGTTTCCTAGGCTTGAAATATACATACATTCCTCTCCCATGATGCTGGGCAATGACAGAGAACCATAGCTTTTAGTGAGTCCCACTATCGCAAGAGGAAACAATCAGTAAACTGTGTATTGCTAAACTATGGTCAGTAGGTTAGATGTATTATGTATTTGCTTTTCCTTTCTTTGTTTGGAGACAGGGTCACCCTATGTTGCCCAGACACCTCAAACTTCTCCTCCTCCTCCTCCCTCAGCCTCTCAAGCTGGCATAACTATCATGCCAGTTTAAATCATTTTAACTTAAGATACTTTCAACTTATGAGTTTACTGACATGTTGAACATCTGAATTTGTCTTAATGCTAGTGTCCTATAGCACTGTACAGTCATTATAGTTTACAATTTATATATTTTTATAAAGGATAGGAAGAAAGGAGTTACAGACTCCACAAAAGAAATGATAAATATTTAAAGAGATGAAAGCGCTTTTAAACTGATTTAATCACTGTGTACTGTGGCCATTTATCAAATTTCCACACTGCACCCATAAATATGTACAATTACTGCATGCCAATTTCAAATTTCGATTGCCAATCAAAAGAATTTTGATGAACTGAGAATTTTTTCCTCATGATCATAAGACATGGTTCCAGCATTCCTGTCCATCTTTCTTGACACTCAACCAATTAATTTGATGAACTGAATTTTTTCCTCATGATCATAAGACATGGTTCCAGCATTCCTGTCCATCTTTCTTGACACTCAACCAATTAGCAAGTCACAGTGAACCACACTACCTCCAAATGCAGACCCTGGCTCGTCTATTCTCAGTCTATCATGATAAGAAGATCTCAGAAAATGATTCCAAGTATTTTTTCCCTCTGTGGTTGTGAGACTACCAGGGAGAAGCTGCTCTGAGGCACAGCTGTCAGTGGATGTGGAAGCAAGGGCTAAGAAGGAGGATTCTACAAATGTTGCTGAGAGGGGCTATGGCTTTGTGTGAGTTCCTCGAGACCCAGCCGCTTCCAGCAGCTGTTTCTTTGGCCTCCATTCTCCTCACTATTTGTGAACTCTCCTTGCTCTTTGCTGAAACCCCATTTATATACTCATCTTTAATGTAACAAAAACTTTTAAGTCGTGTTTAAGGCTGTATCCCCGATGACGAGTAATAAAAAAGTCACAAAGTTATACAAACAACGTAATCAGAAGTGCCTTTCCTAGCTGATAGGTTCACTTTCACAACCATAAGGTGTTAAACCTCATACTTTAGTTTAATAAAGGAGAATTACACAGCAAAAGCAAATCTTACAAGTCCTAACGCCTTGGCATATTCAGAAAGATCCTTCAGCCTTCCGCGTCCCCATCCACCTCTGAGCACTCACTGGCCTGAGCTGTTATACCTGTGCGCCTCCCAGGGAATTTGCTCATCTTCTCTCTGCTTGTCAAGCTTGGCTCTTAATTTTTCTCAATTACCTTTGGAATACCTGAGATGATTTCAGTATTCCTCATTGCTATGTTATGTTACATTAATTCATGTATTTAAATCATATCTGATAAGCATATGCTGTACGCATAAGCCACCGTGCACTGCCACAACCTCTTCTCACCTCTATGGCCTGGACACAGTTTAGATTATTCTGTGACTTTTACCAAAGCTCAGAGTGCCTTCCAGCTCCCTCTTCTAGCCCTGCTCAGCCTGTCACATCCCTTAGATGAGTTAACTCTTCACATTCCAATACAGAGAAACTGGTTAGTTTTGTACTATGCCCCAAGAATTCCCCAGTGAAATAATCCTAGCTGTTAAGAAATTAGCAATGAGATTGGAAAGACAGAACAATAAGGCAAAAACATTATTTTGCTCTATTTAGAGATATGTACTAATTAAGAATGTTATTATTAGCAAGAAAGAGCATCTAATACAGTGTTGGGATATCAGGGCTGCTTCTATTCAGTATTGTACATATGAATAACAAAATGATCATCACCAATATATAGACCACATTGGATTAAAATGTCATTTGTGGATTCTGCCTATGTTTGCAAATCGAAAAAGTAAATTTATAAAAATAAAAGAGCTTAAAAAATGTGAGATAATGAAAAGATTGAAATAAAGTGTTTGTAGATGGGGAGGGGAGGAAGGGGTGAAGGGAGGGCAGGGGTAAGGGGAAAAAATGAGAATCAAGACTTGTCATGTAGAGGTACAAGATCCCAACAATGAATGTAACTGTACTGTATCCCTAAAATGTACCAATAAACTCAATTAAAGCTGGAAAAAAAATAAAAGAGCTTCCTGCATGATGGATGGATTAATGTTTAAATTACTAGGCTCACCTTCTCTAGTCCAGGGCTGAGGATTCTTCCTGCTCTTTTAACATCTCTCTTCTCTGACACATTAACTCACTGCAAAGCAAATAAGTTTTCCCTACCTCAGGAAAGCCCAGAGTCTTATGCCACTCCACAGATTCTGTATTTTTCTAGTTGCTCTTTTTTGAACCAATGCCTCACCTCTCAGATTTATGTTAAAATTTGGATTGGACTAATTATCTCAGTGGTGAGGAGTCACTGTCGAGGGCCGTAGACTAATGGATACCACATTGACTGGGACCATAGCTGCACGGCGTGAAAAGCACCAAACGCCTCATCATCACTTTGTCTAAGAAGTAGATACATTGGCACCAAGCTTTAAAAAAATCAGGCTTGGGCTGAGGACTTAGCTCAGTGGCACTGTGCCTGTCTCAGAAGTGTAAGGTCCTGACTTTGATCCCTGGTACCACAAAAAAAGAAAAAATATCATGCTTCCATTTCCTAATAAAAACATTTCCATTGCCATTTCTAATACAAGCCAAATCTGTGATTCATTCCCAAAGTTTAGGTTAAAAAATTACATGAGCCAGAACAACTAAGAAAACAAATAAAAATGTAAGATAGTGTGAGAATTTTGTTTTTTGCCATAGCTTTTTTAGAAAAGGAAAGCAGAGAAAACAGTATGAAGCATCTTTGACTCATTCCAAGAAAAATTTGCAAGTACATGTTGTGCCTGTTGAAATTATCTAAACGATCTCTCATAGAAGTGAAGAGAGTATCCAAAGTCAATTATTCAAAAAGAGAACTTAGAAACACCGAGCAGAGTAACCACGGATACCTGAATTCCTGTGCATCACAGATTTCAGCATTAAGTAGAAAATGCAAAGTATTCTACATCTGTATCAGATGAGCTTTCTCAAGCCTCTGGGCTGCTTAATGTTGACTGTCAATGTAGCTGGATTATGAGTCTCCTGAAGAGGTGAATGCACTGCGAAGACATTCACCTCATCACTGAGTTAATCCATTGATCATTTCACAGCTAAATGGGCTGTGAGGAGGTGAGGCCTAGCTGGAAAAAGTGGGACACAAAGACTACATTTAGTCGTGGCCCCTTCCTCTCCTGCTCTTTGCAACCCACTCTGTTTCTTCACCTGAGCTGAGCAGCTTCCCTCTTCCATCCCTACCAGTGTTTCTACCTTAGAGCCAGTAGCCAATGGACTGAAACCTCTGAAACTGTAAGTCAAAAGAAGCTCTTCTTTCAATTACAAGTATTTTGTCCCACCAAAGGGAAAAACTAACACCGTCCCTTCTTCCCCAAACAACTCCTGTTAGTGTGAAACTCCTTATCTACAAAGTTAGATTTTGGTATTTTGATGAAAATTTTAAGAGTGTTGACAGATTTTTTTAAGTTCAGTTGTTCCAATCTGTGCAATGAGGACACGTTACTAAAGGGAGAAAACAAACCTGTTCTCTGAGAGCTGTGATAGTTTTTTGAACTTCCACTGCAAAATTGCTGAAATCTTGAATGAACTTTGTTTTTGCCAGAACCGTCATATTTCTAGCATCTTCTCTCAAATCCAACTTACCTTCTTGCCTGTTTATATAAGAAACACATAAAATGCTGAAAAAATAAAAGTTGCATAGAGTTATTTAAAAATAAGCAAATGTTCCTTATTCCTTAGGCACTTGGAATTTGCAGTTGTTGTGATTAGTGCCATGTGATTATACAAAGAAAAAGAATGACTAAAATTAGGAATTAAAATTAAATATCACATAAATGATAATCCAGGGTAGCATCTGCTTCAGGTAATGTATCTAAAATGATACAGAAGTATTTCTTATGAAATAAAGGGAACATCATGTTCTATTGCATATATATTTTACGTATTATTTAGATCTGAAAATATGTTGTTTTGCTAATAGTTCACTTCACACATTTAAAGAGCAGTGACAACTTAAATATTACATACAATGCAGTTCCCAGATGGGAGAGTTGCTTGCTTTTTTATAAATTCATGGCAGGAACTAAATTTAATATAAAGATACTATGTCTGACAAAAATCTGATCTTACCCTGATGTACAACAGCTTCATGTTGCTGATCATAAAAGACTTGGGTTGAATTTATTATAGGCTTCTGAAGCTTAACTGAAGTTCTCAAAAAATATCCTACAGGTAAATAACTACATTTTTAGATAAAAATGAAGGTTCTATTCATCTTGGATTATAAGTTATGGTTAAAAATAGCTGTTATAGCTTTGATTTACTTGACACAATTTTTGTGTCTCAAGTTTTCTAATATTTTTCCAAGTTTTGTTAAAACTTTCTCCTTGAAAAGCTATTGTGACTTCCCAAATCACTGCTTTGTTCTATTTGGAAATAAATTTTTCACTTTTAATAAGTAAAAGGCTTATCAGAAATAGTATATCCTCTGAGCTTACAAAATAACTTCTGATTCAGAAACATGTTATAGAATTTATATCAGTTAGAGCCAAGTTACTAGACAACTTTATGTCCTCTAAGACACAATGAGCTATGGGCAACATGAAAAATAGTGATCTCAATCTCACCAGAATTAACTCTAGTGTTGTATATACCTTTCAAGCAAGGTATACGAGTGTAAAAGTGTTGATAGAGACAATTTTAATAATTATATGAATTTACATAGTGCTCTGTCCTATAAATCCTCAGTATCTAATCAAAGAGAATTTAACTCCAGGGAAGCCTAGGTAAACTGATGAAGATAGAATCAAGATTTGAAATAACAAACATGAGAGCATGAGGAGTGGCTAATATATCAGGTTCACAGTATTCACCATTTAACAAGTATGCGCTGGAACCTGCTATGCTTCAGACGTTGTGTTAAGATAGCAGGATTCCAGAAATGAGGGTTTTCCAGCAGCATTCTCACATTCTCAGTGAAAAGACTGATAAACAGAAAATAAAACATCTGCATTAGGAAAACAAAGAAGCATAACACTGTTCCCGTAGTGAACAATATTGGATTTTGACATTTTATTGAGTAAGGGAAAGGAAATAGGGAAGAGAAAAAATATGGAAAAATTGGAAAAAAGTCTCTCTAAATAAGGGTGAAGTGAATGAAGGGAGGGCAGGAGTATGGGGAAAAATAAGAACCAAGATATATCATGCAAAGGTACAAGATCCCAATGATGAATGTAACAGTATTGTCTATCTTAAATGTACCAACAAATTTCATGGGAAAAAAACTGCACATATTAAATCCATACATTGGGATGATTTGGGATATATGTATACATTTATGATGCCACAATTAGGGTACTAAATCCATCAGCTCCAGAAACTTCATTAGATTATTTGCTGTGACTGCCTTTTGGTTTCATTTTTCATTTCTGAGATGAGAAAGTAACATGAGATCTAGCCTTTTACCATATTTTCAAAGCAAACACTGTATTGTTGAAAATAAATACTACTCTATACAGCAAATCTCTAGAACACACTCATCTTACATAACTGAAACTTTATGCCGTTTGAGCAACAATTCCCCATTTTTCCTTCTCCAAGCTCCTGGAAACCACCATTCTCTGCTCTATTTATACAAATAATCAGGAAGCTTTAGTTGTTCTGTGACTGGTATATTTCACAGAACATAATGTCCTTTAGAACTGCTGTTATGATGCTATTATTTTAAAAAAATGATGACTTTTGGTAAGGATCATGCACTGCTGCCAGAAATGTAGAATGGGTACAGCCACATGGAAAACAGTACAGACATTCCTCAAAAAATTTAACCTAACAACATTGTTAGAAATCTTATTTCAGGTGATTTACCCTAAAAATTAAAATTGGAATTTTAAAGAGATACTGCAATGCCATTATTATTATTATTATTATTATTATTATTATTATTATTATTCAAATAATAGAAATATTACATCAGATACCATTGACAAATGAGCATTTAAGCAATGCTGTATTGTACACTTGAAAATTTGTTAGGATGTTAGGTCTCAAGTGTTCTTACCACAATAAAATAAAATTAATAAAATAAAATAAATAAATAGTACTAAATATAACTTTTATCATAGAACTATATGCTATTTTATAAAATTTGTAACATGTAGCCATACATAAAAAGTCACTTCTACTACCAACAGAAAAGGGATATAAGATCATCTATACTCTTAAGAATGAACTTTTAATATATGACTCATTTAGACTTTAAATTTATTCATTTAATAGATTTTTTCATAAAAGTAACATTATTTTAGGAGAGAAATGTTAAATACAGAAATACATAAGACAAAAACAATATAAATTTATAAGGAAAAGTGATTCTTTTATCTTAAAAATTAATTTATATTGCTTGATTCTTGACTGGAAAAATACAGAAAATACTGAATATTGCATACTATGAAGAATAAAATAACTAATATTGCCAAAGTTTTTTCATGAATAAATAAACAAATAAGATGGTAATGACTTCTGCCTGGGGAAGGAGGGAGGGATGAGTTAGGGAAGCTGAGGGAATCTCAGTCTTTAGCCGCCTCAGGTTCCACATGTTTACCACCTGCCACATGTAAGTCAGAGTCCCTGTGCTGGAGAGCAGGTCCTGTCAGCCCATCTGCCCAGCAGCACTAGGAGACATTCAGTCCTGCAGTTTAGATGGGAATATTGCAGTTTAGAAGGTTCAACAGTCCCACAGGATGTATTTGTTAAAATGATCAGCTGGGATGCAAATTAGGATTTACAAAAGGAAAAATGTCCTTGATCTTAACTGTCCATCCATGGACAGCTGTGGCTCATTTTAAGTGGTTGCATCTGTGTTTCAGACAATGAGGATACAGAGACCGGTTAAAAAAGTTATTGCAAAAAATGAAAAGAAAGGAAAGGAGACATTATGGATATTGCTGCAGTTCAATTTTTTATTGAAAATGTGAAATCCAACATAGTTTGTAAGAGAAGATAGGAATATTTATCAAGATGAACTGATTGTAATTCATGCTTAGTGTGTTGAAAAGAAGGCTTAATTGGGGAGAAGATGGAATAAAGAAATTGAGGATAGAGGCCAGAATAAACACAAAAGATGATAACATTCAGAGATATGACAAAAAGTGAGATTACACTCTAAATGATTTGAGCTAATTGACTGAAAGGATTTGAACATGTGTAGTACACATAAGCACAGTACAATAATCTACAAAGAGTTGTTAAAGAGGGTGTACAGTTACAAAACAGAAACAATACTCATAAGCCTTTTAGCACAAACTGATTAAATGATAAATTGAATTCACAGTTCTAAGGTTTCTGTTTGACAAAAAGTGATGAGATTGGTAGGAGTGAAAATCAAAATAAAAAAATTTTCAATTGAGTACTGTGGGAAAATGTAAACAGATCTTCAATGAGGCCATCCAGAGTCTTATAAGTTTAGATGATAATAGAAAATAACATCACCAGCTCCAGCTTTCATCCAGCAGACCTGGTAGCCCTTCAGGGAGTGCCTCTGCAATGTAAGCCCACCCCATGATCTCAGGCCTCCTGATTGTGCCAGTTCCTGTATCCAAACTGCAGAGACACAGGTGATCATAAAAGTCATTTTACTGAACTTCAGAAGATAGAACAGAAATGAACAAATGTAATAAAGGCTCATCAGACCTCCATAATTGGTAAGTTGGAGGGATCACCCCCTTCCATTAGAACTTTGAGTTCTTTAAAGAAAGGGCAGAAGGAAGCTGTAGTAGAATCTTGCAGAGTTCAACCCTGAAGGAGGTCAGTGAGCTCCGTTTGGTCCTTGCAGCCCAAATTCTGCCTGAATCTCAGGTGTCTGCCAACAGCTTGCTGAGAATAAATGACTTAGTTCAGCATATTACCACTCACATTGTCTATTGTGATGGTGGAGATACACCCTGAAAGAGGCTCTTCAAATTCTTTATCTTCTTTCTTTTCCTCATCCCATTCAGCAAATTCTTTCTTTTTTCTGTCTTCTTTTTCCCACTCAGTCTCTTGCTCCCCCACATTTTTCTTCATCTCCCTTTTTGTTCTTGTTCCTTCCCAAATTCTGATTTCTTCCTCTTCTTTTTTTATTTGTTTTCTTTTCTTCTCTCTTTTTCCTTTAGTCCTGGGTCCTTAGTTTTGAAGGAAAGTGAGCCCCTATTACTGTTAAGTTGTTCTGTTGTTGTCTTTGCTCTTGCACTCTGTTTTTCCCTTGTCTTCAACAGTCTCCTAAAGTTTACATGGTCATCCTGTGTCCCTATCTTCACTTTAAACCTTTTCCAGCTTTTCTACCTATTCCTCTCATTCTAACTCTGTCTAAATCCCCATCCTAAAGAGTAAAGTTGCAGTATTGAAGAGTTTATTCACTATAAACATATTTTGGGAACCTCTTCAAATTTGATTCAGTTCACATGGTTTACAGGTGATAGCTTAATAACTACCACAAATGATCAATTTTTTAAAATTGTGCTTGATGCTATTGTGTTACTGATTGTATGAATTGGGCTAAAGGATTGTGATTGATTTAATGAGTTATCCTTTCTGATATTATGAAATGAGAGTGTCTATGAGTCATTAGAGACTCAAAAGCTAAAGAATGGCTATATCAGGAAGATGTAAGCAC